TGCAGCTCTGGGAGGAGATCGTCAAGGTTCACCCAAGGTACTCGGGGAAGCTGCCGATGAGGTGCACAGCGTTTAACGCGGCTGGGTTTGGCGTTGAGCTGCGGCATGTGCTTTGATACAGTAAAAACAGCGATGCCACGTCCTCCTTGTAGCCTGCAGCAAGTTGTTTTGGCCGGTTGCAAATGCTGTAGCATTATGTAGATGCATGAAAGGATTAGGTCCCATAAATGTACCCACGAGCTGAGTCTGAGAGGTGCTTTAGGACACGCGGCCCAGTGCTCAGAGGGCCGTGGTATCGCAACTGCTGCATGCAAAAGCTGGTCTATGTTACTAACCTGTGGAGAATACAAGATGTGTCAAGGAGGGATCAAGCACATCTGGGGCAATAAACAAGAAATTTATGCTAGTGTGCAGGCGTTGATGACCAGTTATCTTGAGCTGTACTGTTAGCCGTTGGTCTGAGCTTACAGTGCACTCTGGAAGGCAGGTGAGAAAGGGATCTGAAGCTCTGCCACAAGCTTTCAACCACTGAACCTTTACATAGGACATAGGCTCAGCCACTCTCAACCTCTCCTGCTTTGAAAAAAGTCCAGCCACTGTTTTTTACATTTTATAGGGAGCCTGGTCCTGAGAGAGTGCTCGTTGTGTGCCATAAGGACCTTTGCGGCACTCATGCTTGTTGAGGATGTCAGCCAAAATTCCCCGTCAGGTTAAGGCTGAGGGAAGGTGCTCAGTCCTGTCAAGAATAGGTCATGTAGACAGCGTGCAACACTGTTTTGGAGGGGGGAGTAAAAAAACCCGGCAACTAAGGTATAACAGAGGTTGAAGTCCTCAGGATTTAGAGCTGAGTACACTGGAATTTCCACAGGTTTGGACCCAGGTGCCTAAGTCTTTCTTTAGGCACTGCCCTTCTTTAGTGGATCTACTTTAAAAGGCTATGAAAAAAAATTAAGTATTTAGCAGTGGCCTGTGTTTTCAAATGAGAAGCTCTAATCAAATGTTAGACCAGCAGCCTTTTCCTCACAGAGAATTGAGACTAAGAGTGTTTTGGGGGAAGTCGCAGTAGGGAATGAGTGTGTTTTACTTTGCAGCCTGTTACTTGGTGTCAGAAGCAGCAGCAGCAGCACCTTTGGTTGTTTTGCTACAGTTTGTCAACTTTGTCCTTTTGTGAATGATGACTTGGGGCAGTACATTTTGCATGTTCAGTTACTTCACAGTGGCCTTCTTGGAAAATGCTTCTGCTCCTAGCTTTTCTGGAAAAACTCAACATAATTGTAGGGCACTGACCACAGACTTCTATTCACGTTGTTAATGGATATTCAGACTGCAGCTTGGGCTTGACAATGCTTTTCTGTTCTACCCATTTTCCCCAATGAATTAACTTGCAAGTGACATTAATTAGAGCCCATCCTTCTAATGGGCACTTCAGTTCCATAGTTTCACCCCATTCCTCAGTGGCTTGCTTTACTTTCATACAGTCCCTCCTTTCAGTCTGCCCTCTGAGTTCATGCTACTGTGTTTTGCTCGTCTTGTGCCTTGCCTGGTTTGGTCTGTCTGGCTGCTACGAGATAAGATGATTTTCACTTGCACCCTTTTGGCAAACCTACTTGTTTGTAGCAATACAGCCCTCCACTGTTGTAGATTTTGTAGTCTCAAACAATAACCTTTATCATGCTTGCACCTTCTAAAGTTTAATGTTGGCCATCTTTTTCTGGTGTGTTACTGGTGTTGCCTTCATACTCACTGTGTAATTGCACTTAGTCATGAAAGTGACTCCCAATCTCATGGTATCCAGAGCTGTGGGCTCTTAGCAGCAGCATCTGACAGATGTGAAATAAAAAAAAAAAAGAAAAAATACAGAAGATCTGCCAGAAAATGCACCATATCTGCCCTCTTAGTTCTCATGCCACTCTTTCAATAGCAGATTTTGAAAGAACCAAAGCCTCATAGTCTGTGAGGTTACACAACAAGAGCAACTCTTTGACCACTGAGTTGTCATGACATTTCATGAGAAGCATCCTGCAGTGCTTCTTGCTGTGTAAGAAAATTGGTCCTGTCCAGCCAGACTGAATGAGGAGAACATTTTCTTCTAATCCTAAATTGGATGGTTGCTACCTCACTTTGTTAGAAACTGCTGATCTGAGTCTGCTGTATATTGGTTCATTCTGATGCAGGCCTATGACAAATCCAATTCCTGACTTCTGAAATTTTTACTGAGTTGGTTTCTCCTTAGCCACCACAAGAAAATCCAAGAGTAGGAGGTAGGTGTTTGTTGTATTTTTGAAAGTGTATTGGAAGCAGAGTTGCATAAGTCTCAGCGGTGTTTACCTTAGCTGCCCTAAGTGTGCACCAGTTTGTTGTTTAATGAAATCTCATGGTTAAATGCAAACACTCGATTTGGAAACCTCTTTGTGCTCCTGCCAATCCCCCTCAGGCTTGCTGTCATCCGGGATCAAGTGGTTTTTGCTGTTCGGCAGGAATACGTGCTTCTTGGAGATCAGCTCCTGGTCCTGCAGCCCGGAGACGAGGTTGCCATCATCCCACCAATTAGTGGAGGCTGAATCTGCTCAGGTTCTCTTAAGTAAGTATTACTTCTTGCTTAGTTGCCTATTGAGTGTCATCCTATGCTAAAATATCTCATGGACTCCTTGTAATATTCCAGTAATCTATTTTTGTTGTTTAGGTCTAGAGATGTGATTGCAGTTCTCTCCCTCCACCACACTTTTGAAAGAGCATAACTTGCATTTCCTACTGGACTGAACCATTGCACTGACCAGAAACTATAAGCTGGTGTACCATTAAATGTCTAACACATATGCACTGATTGGAAGAAAGTTGCCTGAGGGGTCAGACATTGTTTTGAATTTGGCTTTTAGGTCTTGTTACTCTTTTGTGAATGTTCCTGGCTGCCAGTACATACTGAGCTTGCCTAAATAAGATAATAATGAAAACCCTTCTGCCACTGTTTAACATAAAAGATGATACAGAAAAATGCTGCATGAAAATACCCTTTTTTTCGGTGTTTGTTTGTTGCTGTCAAAGAAATAGGTATCCTTAGAATCGATGAATTTCTTTGCGGGATTTCAAGTGCCGGTACATGTATTTACTGCAGCTTGTTCCATTGTTGCTACTCAAAATCGTTCTTTTCCTCATTCTTAGATGAACTGATGACTGTTTTCAGCTCAGAGAAATTAGAAGTGTGTCCTGTGTCACTGAAACAGATCGATTGTATAAGGTCCTGAATGTTGTGGAGAGCCTATTGAACTTCAGGATTAGAACTCCAGACAGTATTTACCAGAAATTTCTGTTTAAAACTGTTTGATTTCAGGATAAGATAGGGAGGAGGGTGCTGCTGCAGATTTACTAACACAGTGGTCTATACTGGTTCATTTGTACTGTTGAACCTGAGTCTCAGATTAGTTCTAGTTTAATCTTACTGGACCAGACTTCCCTACCAGGAAGGAACCCGTATACGTTAAAAACCAGGTCATTGCTTGATATGTTCAGTTAACATTCTCTCATCAAGCCTACTGAGAAGTGAATTTGCCATTGAGACTGGTCCCTTGGAGTGAGGAAGGAGATGATGCATGTTTTCTGCATTAATCGGAACATCAGCATTGGATACAAAGCAGTTGCCCAACGCTAGTATTGCCAAAACCAGCAACAGAGTCTGTTTGCTTTCAGCTTTTCTAGTGAGCTATGGATGAAAGCGAAGATGTGCCAAAAGATTTTATCGAGCTCAAGTCTGAAAAGCTTTCTGTAGATGAAGTGTCAGAGCTGGTCATTTCACCATGCTGTGGGGCAGTGTCTCTGTTCATTGGTGAGTTTAATATTTCTGAGCTGGATGTCTGAGTGTGTTAATAGTCTAATAAATGAAACCTAGATTGTCCACACCCCGAACTTGTTCTTCTCAAATAAATAAATTCCTGGACTGAACCCAGGATGTTTAGAAAACACGTTTTGAATTATTCAGAACAAGACTATGGCAACTCTTAAACAGTTGCCCTGGGACAAAGTGGTGAGAAGTTCCCTGCTGGTGTGGCTATCCTAAGGCTGAACAGAGCAGCTCTGGAGTACAGGACTGCTTGGGAGCTAATCTTCCATCCCCTTGGACACAGCTATGCAAGCCACAGGCCCACACCTGTATGAAAACGCTTGCAACTCAGATCTTGATTGAAAGTAAAGTACTACTTTACCCATGGGCTGGTAAAGGTCAAGGCTGATAGCTCTGTCCTGTTGCTTAACATACATGGTACAGATCTGGAAACCCTTTTGTGCTTAAATCAGCGCTGCTGAGCTCCTGAATACTGAGCACTGAAACATTGCACAGGTAAATGCAACATTAGCATCTTTGCAGTTAGAAGTTGTTCTAGACTTGGACATAACAGACTGCAGGCTTGTATAATCTGTAAACTAAATTCTTGCTTGTATGTTAGAGATTTCTCTTGTTCAAAGAATCAGTTTACTCAGCCAAGATTAGAGGAGGTGATTTATATTTGCACTGTGCTGACCTTGACCATAGCCGGAGATCCATAATTTTACTCAATATTTATATATAATAACTTGTTATGTAATAAATATATAAACAGATTTATAATATATATTTACTTATTTACTTAGTACTTTTGGTTGATAAATCATTCTTGTTTAGGTACTACAAGAAATAATTTTGAAGGGAAAAAAGTGATTCACTTAGAATATGAAGCATATACTTCCATGGCAGAGACCGAAATAAAGAAAATCTGCAGAGATGTTAGACAGAAATGGCCATCAGTCAAACATATTGCAGTGCAGCATAGACTTGGGTATGTATGGTCAGCCTCCATCCTTCTGCAAGTGGAGTATTAATCCTTGTCTGGTGCATGGCCGTGCTTACACAGTTGCAGGATGTGCAGGAGTCTTTATAAAAACTGTAATGCAGCAAAGGTGGCTATGGGATCAAGCTCTTGCTGTGGAGTTAAGGTTCAGGAATAGTCTTTTCAAAATACATGTATTGATGGTGTTTGCTGGAGTTCGCATTTAGCCTGCAGGATCCTTGATGCTGGTGTGATGGTTTGAAGGTGGGAGAAGGGATAGAGATTTCATTTGAATGAAGGGAGGCTGTTGATTTGTTTTGTCTTTTTTTTTTTAAAGGACGTGAAGTTGGCAGTGCTTTCTTTTTTCTTTTTTGTTCGACTGAGGTGCCACAGAATGTTCTTACTGTCAGATTTAAGTCAAATTAGACCATAGGGAAGCTGCAAGGTTAGACTACAGAAAGGGGAGAGGCACATTAGTTGCCAGCCATACTTGCTGGAGAACCTTCTGTTGTTGCCTGAGTCTTGGATAAGCATTTTCTCTTGGGTTCATAACATGAAATACCACCGTCTGACATACTCTTGAGCCTTCACTATTCCATCAGATTTCTCACTGAAACCAACAGAATTTGCAGAGTGATTTCCTTTTCTCCCAGCAAAAGGAACTTGGAAGGTGACTGCAAGGGGTAATACTTAGTTTCCTCTACAGTCAACAGAGAGAGTGGTTCTCTCGCGGGCAGCTCAAAGCATTTAAGACTAGATTTTTCCTGTTAACTGTTTGCCAGAGGAGTCTTGCTATAGAGGGAGAATTGGGAGGCAACTTTTGGGAATATTGCCCTCGTGAGGAGCAAAACAAACCCTTATGCTACTTCTGTTAGATTTGGAAAATAACACACCAAACAGGAAGAACTTGACAATTTGAAATCAGAATGTGACAAAAATTAAGTTTTATTGCAAAATCTGTGTAGTCTGAGGCACTTAATTTCTTCTTTTACAAATTTGTATGCAAACTGAGATGGCTTCTTATGTTTTCAGATAAGAACTGGCTGTTCCTAACTTGTTAATTATGAACCCAGCTTTCAGTGAGTTTCCTATGCATTGTTGCAAGTTAGCAGTTTCCTCCTCTTAATTCCATAGACTTTATTTAAAAAAAAAATAATAGAAGAAAAAAAAGCCTATGTCTGGTGAGTTTATTTATTCTAAGACATGGAATTCTCACATCTGGTACTGATTTTGGTTGTGGTTTTCTTTCTTTTAAAAAGTGTATAATCTTTTGGACGTGGTTTGACACTTGCTCAGTATGAATGAGTCAGGAGAGCATGTGGCCAGAATACTGACGTGACATGGCCACAACTTTTGGGTGCTCCTGATGTTAAGTGTTAGCTAAAGCTGCTGTTTTTCCTCTTCTCTCCCTAGTGTGGTTCCAATAACTGAGGCAAGTGTAATTATTGCAGTCTCCTCTCCACACAGAGCAGAATCTCTTGAAGCTGTAATGTACTGCATCAATACTTTAAAAGCATCCGTTCCAATATGGAAAAAGGTATGTCTGGGGACAAACATGATTTTAGGCCTGTGCCAAGGTCTTAGACAGCTGGGATAAAGGCTGCTCTTGCTGTTAAGGGAAGCAGCTGAAGTGTTACGGGCAGCAGTTGCTCCTGATGGGAGGCTAGTGTCTAGCATAGATGAGTTTCCTCTAATGCAGCCAGGCCCATATCTGGTGGGTTGGGCACCTGGAAGACTTTCCTTCTTTGTATCAAACAGCCCCTCTTCCTTTGAACACCATCCTGAGGTCAAAGTGAGGGAGCCCCAAACTCTCCTCTTTTGACTGGCAAAACTCAGTTCTTCACAGGCGTCTGGAAGAACTTTTGAGTCAGCTTTGCCTTGGACAGCACTGCAGTTTGCAAGTAGGAGTGCCATTTCTTATCCTTCTGTTTTCTCCTCATCCCCATGGCCTTGAGAAAGCACAAAGCATTAAGCAACAGCACACAGAGGGATGAGCGGAGGTCCCAAAGCTGGTATGGGAACACAGCAATGTGTGGAGAGACCAGCCTGGGTCTAGAAAGAGCCTCATTGCATAATCACAGTGTTGCATGCAAGTAACTGGTGTTACCTCTGCCTTCTCTCCCAGGCAGAACTTGGTGTGTGGTAACAGTGATGTTCTCTGCATTACTCCACTTTCCTGACACCTCTTTCAGGAGACTGGAGTTCTGTGGCCTGGGAAAGAATTATCAGGGGATCAAAGCCCTGCTGAATTTGTTGCTTAGGACTGGACTGCTGCTAGGTAGCCTCATGTGTCCTGATAATAATGCTTAGTTAATTTTCTGTATTGTTGTCATTTTAATTCTTTTATTAGTGAAATTTTGTATACTTAAATACTCTCCTAAAAATGATGGGACAGTAGGTTAACATGACAACATGCAGAAAGGGCAGTTTCAGACACGAATGCTGTGTGCTCTACAGCTTTTACATAATTTCTTCTATATCTATTTCTTGAATTGACTTCACTATAGATAGGCCCTTTTAAATTTAATGGGGCTCAGCCAAGGTTCAGTATCTGCCCACATGTAAGTCAGTATGTTTTAAGGGTGCTGCCCTCTTTTCTGTTTGCTAGTTTGTAGTCCTGTAGTGATCAGTAAATAATAGCAGGATGGCTGTTGAGTTGTTTGGCCTGGCTTATGGCTGTATGTAGCAGACTCCCACAATATTTCCCATTCTTTTTTTATATTTGCAGGAGATTTATGAGGACGAATATTCTTGGAAAGAAAACAAGGAATGCTTTTGGGCAAATTCAGGAAAATAACTGTACTCTTAAAAATAAAGCGTTACTGTTCCTAATGAGTGTAGTGGTTTAGCTTTGAGTTGTTTTTACAGGGAATCTATATGTTTATAAGCAGTTGTGATAGACATTTCAACCTGAATTAATTTAGTTAGGACAGAATGAAATGATTGAGTAATAATTAGGGTTTTTAAGTGTTCTTCACTCTCCTTTGAAATCATCTCTCTGCATTTTACCATGCAGTCAGTTTTAAAAACAGTCTTCCCTAAAATCCGTAGTTGCAAGGTGTTTACTCCTCTGATATATACTGCTTTAATGCCTTTACATTGGCAATCTGTGTTCATTTCCTGCATGGGAGGTCAGAACAGGACAATTGGATTTTTATTTTTTTTTTTAAATCTTAAAAAAAGCCTTGAGTAGTTTAATTTTATATGACTGTAGAATCAGTTTGCAAGCTCTATGCTATTTTGACAGTCTTCTAACAGGAAAGGTACTTGAAGTAGATTAAACATTTTGGTACAGACAGAGAAGAAAATATAAACTATACCCCAGAGTTATTAACTTTTTAGTAGTGGTTATGTTCCAGTAGCTCTGTCTCAGAAACATTTTTACTGTGCAGCTGATATTACAAGTCCATTGCATTAAAAAAATATGGACAGACCTTGATTCAAAGTTAGATCTAATACTTTACTAGCAACAAACTTGCATCAAACTTGCATTAGCAATAACACGCAAACCTGTAACTACTTAATGATGTCTAGACATCATTAATTTTGAACGAGCTTTTTCGGCTGTGTAATTGTGTGGTGCTGCAGTGGAAGAAAAAAGGCAGCTGTTATTACAAATAGACAACTATAAGTTTAATTAGTTTTAGTAGTTAGACTTCATACATGTTAAGGTTCCAAGTCATCAAAGTGAATTAGTTCTTCAAAGGTAAGTGAGTCTGTTGAACTTTTTACAGTTTATATGTATGCATTTATATTCACATTTATGATTTAAATACAGTTTTTATCTTGTTATGTTTCAAAACCTAGTTAGAAAAAGACTGCGAGTGTGCCTGTGCTTCCGCTGGAAACAATGGACTGCTCCTCTGAGTAAGATCATTGTATTTATATTATTGTAGTGTGCCATGATAGTGTTTAGATGCTAAGAGTTCGATGTCCTGTTGTGTATGGCATTTTGACTAATGCAGAGAGGCAGTTTTATCTAGTCATTGTTATGAAGGTAGGCAAGATAGATATAAAGGAGGGAAATGAAGTAAAGTAGAATGATTGGCTCAAGTTTATATATTATGTCATGACACAACAGTTAAGCCTCAGCTATGTTGGCTCTGCAGTAAAGATCTACAAGCAGCTGCCCGCTGCACAGAATAAAATGAGAAAAACAGGCAGTGATCTTTTCCCCTGAGTGATTTCAACCCGTTTTAATCCAGATACAGTAACCATCACTAGGTATTAAGTAAACCCCAGTGAAAAATACAACCTCAGGCAGAGACATGGTTAAACAGCGCTTGTTAACTTACTGATGCACTTTCTTTGGCGGAAGTGAGCAAGTCCTTCCCCTACAGGACAGCAGCTGCTCCTTGCATGCTTACACATATGCAGCCTCCAAGTGGTGTGGGCCCTGTTATCTAGTCAGAGCTGAGCAAGGTCACAGTTGAATTTTCCCTTGCTTCAGAGGTTGGAGAGAAGCCCTCTGCTATTTCAATATCATTTTTGCCAGGAATTGTACAGAATCCTGAGTACAGATCACTTCCTCTGTCAAATATTTTTGGTTTTAGAAAAGAAAGAAATACACAAACTTTCCCATTTTTGGTGTTTATTTTTCTACATTTGTGTTTGCTGTTACCGTGCAACTAATTAGTGTATTAATTTTGCACAAATAAATGGGTAGCATGCCTTGTAGTGGGTCGTGTATGAATGAAGTAGCACCTATGCAGCGCTTGCAGACTGGTGCTGTGCTCTGGTACAGAAAAATAATGGTACTTAGAAAACAAGTACAATTGTACTTGGCGCCCTGTGATCAGGGGCAGTTCCTGTGTTGCACTTAGTGCTTCTCTAGTGCTGCAATCTCCTGGAGTATTTCTACAGGGTGACCTTAAGTGCACCTTCCCCATCAGCAATGCAGCTGGGAAGGAGGGTGCAGAAAAGAAGAGTAAGAATAATTGTGTACTTCCCCACAGTGACCAGGAACAATGAATGGAAGAGATGTTGTACTGAGTCACAGCAGAGTGTTACAATGTGTGTATGCTGCCATGGTCAAAACAATGAAATGTCATTTTGTGTCCCTAGCTGTGCATGAGGCAAGTACTGCTTTGTTCTGGAACAATGATGTATCAGTCTTGTGTAACTTTGGGTTCTTCAGCTGGCAGCTAAAAGCGAAATGGAAATGCCCCTTGGGAGGGATGATGTGCATAATTAGAGGTAAAATGTATCTCACTGAAATTTAAGTCCATACTGGAGCTCGGTATTCTCTGCTCCCTCTGTAGGGCTACCCTCTCTGCTAGGGCAATATTATCGTAAGAGGACAAATTACACTGTTCTAAGATAGCTGCCTGAGGCTATGTCTGGAGCGACCCAGAAGTGCTTCCAAATTTCCAGGCCAGGGGATGAATCCCAGCTGTGTTTGATTGCCTGTCAGGGAAAGATGTGGCTGCACATGTGCTGGTGCGCATGTGCTGGTTTTGACACACGTAGGACTAGGCTGTGGGATGAGGGCTACCTTGTGCTCTGGTGAGGATGGTAGGCAGCTGCAGATCAATATACAGCACAGCCGTAGCTTTGTGGGATGAGTCCAGCTGTTCCTCTGCCTTGGCTACAGGGAAGGTCATTCCACCCCTCTTACAGCTCTTTCACAGCATGCTGCAGAGGTGGTGGCTCCACGTGCAGACAGCTCTTCCTGGGAACAGATGCTGTAGACCAGAGGATCATCATGTGGTTTCTGTAGAGACCTGCCAGATGATTGGTGTTTGTGGAGAGGAAGTGAATGTCAGTTGTAGCTGGCAACATTTGAACACACCGATCCATCCCTTTGCCTGGCAGAACGTCCATATACTAGCATTGCTTAATTTTAAGAGTTTCCTTTACTGATTATTTGCTCTGTTTGCAAGAGAAGCTCAGCCTGATGTGTACTATGAAAAGAGTAACTGATGGATTGTCATGAAATGAACTGGGGACGACGATGCTACTGTGTTATAAGAAGCCTACCCAGGAGATGGCAGCGGAGAGATGGCTGTGCTGGAGTAGCGGTTCCCCCTAGGCCCAAGGGCCGGCTCTGCTGGGAAACACTGGCACTCGACCCTGCTGTCACTTGTGAAAGTGCCACCATCGCAATCGGGAACAAAGCGTCTAGATGGCTCGACCTTAAACTAGATGTTTTGGCGAGTGCCTTGGGCACAGCAACCATGAACTTTTATACTTGGAGATACCAGGAAGGGGTGCAGCAAAGCTGCCATTTTGGATTTCAGTAGGGCTGATTTTAACTTGTTTAGCACTCTTATTGCCAAAGTTCCTTGGGGATCAGTACTTAGGGGTTTGAGAGTTCACGAAGGCTGGGCGCTCTTTAAGAAAGAGGTCCTGAAGGCGCAGGAGCAGGTCATCCCCGTTAGCCGTAAATTCAGCTGGAGGCATAGACGACCTGCCTGGCTTAACAGGGATCTTAGGCTGGCACTCAGGGAGAAAAAGAGGATTTATGGCCTTTGGAAAAAAGGGCAGGCAATTCATAATGACTACAAAAATGTTGTGAGGCTATGTAGGAAAAAAATTAGAAGCCCCAAATCCCAGCTTGAAGTTCATGTAGCCTCTATGGTTAAGGATAATAAGAAAAGTTTCTATAAATATATTAACAACAAAAGAAAGGTCAAGGAGAGCCTCCATCCCCTGTTAGATGCAGGTGGACGACTAGTGACATCAGATGAGGAAAAGGCTGAAGTGCTTAATGACTTCTTTGCCTCAGTCTTTATCAACAGGGACAGTTATATAGAGGGAATCCAACTCCCTAAGCTAGGAGACTGGGATTGAGAGCAGGAGGACCCCCCCTGCCCCATTCCAGCAGGAAATGGTCACTGACCTGCTGCAACATTTAGATGTTCACAAGTCTATGGGGCCAGATGGGATGCACCCAAGAGTGCTGAAGGAGCTGGCAGGAGTGATCACC